AGAATACTTTCTTAAGTACCTACACTTATTGGGTTTTCACGTGTGAGTCTTTAAATATATTTCGAAATTATTATATTATATTAATATGTAGTCATTCTTGGGAGAATGTTTATTTAAAAACAGTCGGAACCAATCCCTCACTAGTGGGCTTAAGTAAATGGATGTCGGAACAGGGTTTAGCAGAGATAACAAAAAGGGAAAATTTATTAAGAGATACAAAGGACGGGAAATTGTGGAGAGCTATGATAGCTAACATCCTGAGTGAGCATGACATGTAACCTAAGATACTGAAAGTCGTAAAGAATATTTTATTAAATCCATTCTATGAAAGAAACTCTTGTCAACCTAAGTTGGCTTTCGTTTCAGCAAGTGGTGTAGTGATAGCAAATACGTCATCAATAGAGTATTTATGGAATAGAAATTTGTACACCTGCTATATTGATCAAATGGCGGTATATGGCCACATCAATGGAGACTTCCTTTCCGATCCATCAAAGCCATCCAAGTTCCGACTGCACTGAATACTTTGATCCGATAGAGGAATTGTATCGATCCATAAAGTCTTATATGTCTGGTGAAGACCCCAAAACTGAATCATTTCAAACCACGTCACGAGTACACCAAGAAGTAAATGACAGACCCAATTTGTTTAACATCTTCTTAGAAAATGCTTCTTGCGTTTACAATCGCATATGCGAAGAAATGGGTGTAGAATATTTGAACGTTTCATACCATAGCCTAAATGTATCAATTCATAGGAAACGACACTCAGAGGTCAGTGTTCTGGCGATGGGGAGAGGCTATGTTGATGATATGGGTATTCATAGTTGGCATACGAAGGGCCTTGAACAAAACAACAACAAAAATCAATATTCTTTACTCATGGTTCAAAGAAGTAGAAATCAAGATAAACAATTCCAAGACGGAAATTATGATATGGAATCGGAATGAATGGCACTGATGTTCTGAATCAATCCTAAAAATTCAAAATATGAAATTAATGAATTCTAAACCTAGATCGCTTATAACAAATCTAGAATTTATAGATAAGGAAATTTAACATTAGCTTGGTTACACTAGAGGTAGTTTTTTTTTTTTTGGGGTTTTTTTGTCCAGCATAAGTGTCACAGGATCAAAATATCAACTTTGGAACTGGATTTAAGTCTTCAAATGTTTTTTTTTTTTTTTTTTTTCTTAAATCATGCTCTTCACTTAACTATTATTATTATTATTTCCTTTGATTTCTGTTGTATACACATTTCCTTCAGGGTCCCAACCAGAGGCCTAATGTCAGAAATGGCTTCATGACATTTTTCCACTGAACATTTTTGCAAAAAATGAAAAAAAAAAAACAAAGATCACACACATTTTACATAGATAAAGCTCTTCGTAATGTGTGAGCTGTACTTGTGAGTACAATTATTATTATTATTATTTTGCTTTGAGTAGTATGCGTTGTCTCCAAGTTTTAACCAGACACTTCAAGAGACAACAGGTTTTTTTTGCATCAAAATATGCAAACAGATAGGTGTCATACAGACAAGGAGCAAAGATTTGTAACCCCGGTCACAGCATAGAGAGAAATCTACGTAAGATATAATAAGTACCCATGAAATTGAATTCTTGCAATCCATGTTTTATGGCTAACAAGAATTTGATCGATCCACATATTTGTTTGCTCCCTTGGATATAATTCCAAGAGCTCCAGTAACAACAGGTAATATTGTCTTGAGATCCCATATTCTCTGGAATTTTTGTTTTTATCTTGCAGTCCTAGTCTTTACTTAGTTTCTCAGACGTTTCCAAAAATGTTTTTTTCGTCTGTGCCTGCAATCAAAAGACGAGGGTTTTCAACATATTTTTTTACAATTATGTCTGGTCTTGATTTGGCTGGATTTCCTTGTCAGGCTGAACGTTAAAATTCCAAAAGATGGTAACCTCTTTATTCTGTAAAACACATAGTGGCTTATGTTCCCACCAATTCTCTTTGCGAGGGAGGTTGAATTCGCAACATATTAACCAACATATGTTCTAAGCAGCCCTATCATGTCGTTGCAATTACTTTGATTGCGTCAGTCGGCCACTGCCAAATATTATGTAGCCAATTATCTCTAGAGATTGTACTGTTAAGTTTCAGGACCTGACATAAGTAGTTCCTGGTTGGAAGGAACCGATTCTGGCAACAATTATGAATCCTTCAGTTTCTGGGGCCAGAACCAGCCAGCCAGTGATGGGTAAGAGTTTGATCAACATTAGAATCGATGGATCTGATAGTGTATTTGCTATGTAGAGTTTTTTGTGGCCAATACTCTATCAACGCAATCATATTATCATTCTGCTTGTTCGTTAGTTAGAAAATACGTTACCCTCTGCCATTACCTTAGATAAACAATGGACCACTCCCATTTGATTGTGAAACTAGGCGGAAGAAAAGATATATCAAAGTCAATGTTTGGTTTCAAGGAAAGGAAAGGAAATAAATGAAGATAGAAGAGGTGATAATGATCTCATGCGTTTAAAGTCTGTTTCAGTGAAAGGGAAAACCTTGTCAATTTTAAAACTTTTCTTGTGTATCCTCTTACTTCTTTAAATAATAACCTGCATACATATTACGATTGTTATTGTAATATTTTTAAAGTTGGTAAACTCAAATATTTATTGAAGCAATAGGGGGAAATTCCATGGGTATTTTGTCATTGTGGAACCGCTAGGGGGTTATTCATTCATTATCTTAAGAATTAAGATATTTTCACAGCTATTTCTAGTCATTATTATTATTATTATTATTATTATTCGAGTGGATGATAATGGCAAAAAGAAAAGAAAAGGGTTAATGATTACTTATAGTATAAATTATTTTATCTCTTTGTAAAGTTTACTGTTGTGTTATATATATATATATATATATATATATATATATATATATATATATACTCATGCAACAGAAATTTATAGAAACAAGGATCTTTTCATTCATAAACAGGTTCGAGGGTTTTTGTATATTATTTGAATTGTTCGCGACGATGGATTTCTCGCCAATTAAAACATTAACCTTTGTATTTGTTTTTTGTATGAATAATTCATGAATTTGTAAATTAATTGCATCTTTATTGAAATTAAAATAACTGATCCAAATGCAACTTTTGGATAATAAGTGCGACATTACTGTAATTATTGAACAATAAAGTTCATGCCACTTTGACAGAAAATTTACCAGTAAAAAAGAATTCACTTATCACCATATTTGTATAAGAACGCACAATTGTAAAATTTAAATTCAAACTCAGCGTTGCGACAGCACGCTCTAAAAAAACAATAACTCATTTCTAATAGCATTTTTCGGATTACAACAATACATATTTTCGTTGTCCTCTTATTACTGAGAGTAAAAAACAAGAACAAAATCTATTCCATACCTGAGGATGTCTGTAGGAACAGACGAAAGCTTGTAAAATAATAAGAACTCATGCAACAGAAATTTATAGAAACAAGGATCTTTTCATTCATAAACAGGTTCGGGGGTTTTTGTATATTATTTGAATTGTTCGCGACGATGGATTTCTCATAATTTTTGAATTAACCTTTGATGTATTTGTTTTTGTATGAATAATTCATGAATATATATATATATATATATATATATATATATATATATATATATATTCATTTCACTTCAAACAAGGCAATAAAGCCACTAGGATGGAAGGGGTTACTGAGTTTTAGACATTATAAGAAAAAAAAACTACTATTAACGAGAGAGGACAATAAAAGAACAAGAATTAAGACGAAAGATAACGATTGACATTGAATTGAAATTTTTGAAGATCAAAGTTGACTGTGAAACAAGAAGCCGGAAGAGAGTTCCAGAAGCAAGAAGGACTAAAGAAGAAACTATTAGCATAGAACTTACAGTTGCATCTAGCCACTTCAACTAAAATGATGAGACCTTGCCACCAATATAGTACTGCTCTTAAATTCATAAAGTCTCTGTACCATAGAGGAAAGTTTATCAGAACAATTACTACAAAAGTATTTATAAAAAAGGCACAGAGAAGTTATATGACGGTGGTGGGAAAGTGGGTGAAGCCGAGATGCCAGATCAGGATCAATAACATTGTAGATTTTTCTTTGAATTTTATCAAGAAACTCTAAATACATAACAAGAGCGCAAGACCAGATATATTTAATGTCGCCTCTTCGCTAAAAAAAAAAAAGAAAAAAATTTAATGAATCTTATTTCTTCAGATAAAATGACTCAGAACTATAGAATCGACTGATTTTTTTTAAATGTCAAGAAATTGAATTTTCATCACTTCACAAGCTGTCATTATCTGAAAGAAAATTCTTGCTTATGTTAATTTTATCGAAAATACTAAATATATATATATATATATATATATATATATATATATATATATAGTTCCTCCTGCAGTTCCTTTCGTGTAGGAATGTTTCCAAATTTAATTGATTTTTTTTTCTAAAAGAACTGCTACCGTTTTGCTTCTGTCGTCTTTACCTGAAATTGCATTGATAACTAGATTACTTTCATATTTTTTGAACTTGTTACAATACCCACACTGTGTTGCGTGAGTAGCATAACAGATAGCACGAAAAAAAAAAATGAAAATCTGGAAGTCAAGTTCAAATTCCGAGTTAATCTGTTGCATTCACTTTCGCACAAATGTCCTTTAGAACTGTTTTAATCTGACGCTTCTCTACATTATCTACGGTTTAAATAGGACGGTAGATTCGATTCTCTTGCCTTGGTTTGGTTTGGGTTGTTTTGATTAGCGGCATATCAACATCTATAAGTTATTTAATGCCGACATCTAAATATGCTTTCAGCGATACATAATTAACCCATAGTGAGGGAGAAGAGGTGAATTCATACCTTTCCCAAAGTTATTTGAGCATACGTGAATATAACGAACCCACCTGGAACTGGAACTCGGCTCTCCAATTCCGAGCTGTTATCTATTACACCACCGCACATCCAAGCTTACAGAAGCTGGTATTCCAACGCGGTCACACATCTAGGTACTGACTTGGCTCGATGTCGATTAACTTTGATGATCATACGGAAACCGGTGTTTCAACATGATATGGCCGTAAGCCATACCACCTGCATATCCAAGATTACAGCATTTGGTATTCCCAAACAAGCTACCCATCTAGATACTGACCAACAATGATATTGCTTAACTTCAGTGATCGTACAGGAACTGGTGTGTCAATGTAATATGGCCGTAAACCATACTGCCTGCACATTAAAGGTTTCAATATATGGTATTTTGAAGTGGTCATACATCTAGGTACAAATCAGGCTCGACGTTGCTTGGTGATCAGGCTTGGGCAGGTGGATGTCAGAACGTGGTCTAGGGGAGTTGGCAGAGGTACGAAACTTATTGAGAGCTACAAGGGATAGAGGGAGGTGGAGAGCCATGATCGCCTACATCCTGAAAGGACACGGCACATAAAAAGAAAAATAATCTTTAATTCTGCTTAGATTCTGAAGTTTTGAAATTGTTTCTTCCCAGAATTTATTCGTCTGTTTTAATCAATTTATGATCATTCCGTCCCAAGCCAATGCACGACAGTAATTTCTCGGATTCTCTAAGTGTGAATAATTCGTAAACCTCCGCCATAACACATCTGAATACGTGTAAACTTAATCTCATTAAAACAGCGTGGAAACGAAAATGTCAAAAAAAATCAAAATCAAATATAAAATTTAAAATAATTTGATAAAATATCTTTCCACTTTTCGAGAATGTGTTATTCCTGGTGTAAATCTATATGCCTGCAGTCGGGTAATGTGTATCGTACTAATTTACAAATTTAGTGATCTAATTTGCATATTTTGGAGGGAAAGTTTTCTTGAAGGGGGAACTGTAAGAAGAATATAGTTCGTTAAAATTCTTCATTTTAAGAACTTGGAACTTAAGTCAGATTTCGTCCCCAGAAAATTCTATGGCTTATCGGATTACAGTTAAAATACTTTAAACCAAAATGTTTTCTCTTTTTTTTTTTAATTTGGATATTCGTGATTCGTTGATTGAATTTACGACGTGCCTACCCTTGCTGGGTTATTTAGTGCCAAATAGTGAGAATCCTACTCACAAATCAGTACTAATACTATCTTTGCTAACCGCTACGCAACACTGTTTGCTGGTTGGTTGATTTTATGACATGCCTACACTTGTAGATGTATTTAAGGACAAAATTTGTATGGGACACTGTTCAATTCTAGTGTTCGGCATGACTAGCTTCGAGGAAATTGTTTGAATTCGAATTGATGCAAGAAAAAAACTCGAAGAATACAAGATGCAGAGGTATGTATGAATATCACTAAATCCACGGACTTACAATAAAAAAAAAACATTTATTTTATCCAACACAAATTTATTTTACATGTTTACAACCAATATTATCTATTATCATATACCTCTGTTCTCACACCCTTTGCCTTTGTCTTCACATTATTTCCCATATGCCTTTCAGTGCAACTAAGATTATTGATTATCTCATGCCTCTGTTTGTCTATAACCCTTTGCTTGTATCTTCTCAATCTCTAATACAACTAAGATTATCCATTATTTTAGGTCTTTGTTCGTCTCTAACCCTTCGCAATCTCTCTCTTATCTCTCCCAATACAATTATCCATAATCCCATGAATCTGTTTGTCTCTTAACCTTTGCCTGTATCTTCTCAAACTCTCCCTTATCCCTTCCAATGCAATTTCCCATAATCTCATGACTGATCGTCTCTTAACCTTTGCCTGTATCTTTTAAATCTCTCCCTTATCCCTTCTAATACAACCAAGATTATCGATTATCTCATGCCTCTGTTTGTCTCTAACCCTTAATCTCTCTCTTATCCTTTCCAATACAATTATCCATAATCCCACAAATCTGTTCGTCGTTAACCCTTTGCTTGTATCTTCTTAATCTCTCCCTTATCCCTTCCAATACAACTAAGATTACTTCATACCCCTGCTCCGTTCTTCTTTGGGTTTTTTTTTATATATGTGCTGTATTCTTTCAGAATGTTGGCCATCATGGATCTTTACACCCGCCTATCGCTTATGACCCTTAGCAACGTTACTCACTTTATCAAACCATACCTCCATTCCGCCATCTATTCACACAAGCTCATCATGTACTCAAAAACCAAGCAAGTATCACCTCATCACTATTCGAATGATGGGTTTCCTCCGGTTGCACTCTAAATAAAGGCTTATTTGAAAATCTCTTTCGTCTCAAGTTTATTGCAGGGTCCCAAGGGGGACCAACATCCACAATCCATTGCTAAATACGCATGAAAAACGATCGACACAGTCCATCAACCCAGGAAATATCTAATTTCTTTTTTATCGGTATCACCCCAAGCAAGGTAGTAAAGCCACTAAGACACAAGAGATTACAGAGTGTGAAAGAATTAGGAACAGAAACATTAGTAATGAGTCAGGAGAGAAAAGATTAATCAGGAGGAGAGTAGATAGCGATTGACGTTGCATTTATATTTTTGCAGATTAAAATTCGCTGGAAAACATGGAGCGGGAAGAGATTTCTACAAGCGAGAAGTGCGAGAAAAGAAACTGTTAGCATAGAACTAACGGCTATGTCTAGCCAACTCATCTGTGAATTGATGAGCTCTCGACGTCAGTCCAGTACTGCTCTTAAATTTTAAAAAAAATGTCTAGGTACAATAGTGAAGTTTCTCATCCAAACAATTACGATGAAAGTATTTATAGAAAAGGCAAGAGCGGCAACCTTACGGCAGTGGAAAAGTGACTGAAGCCGAGCTGCCAGATCAGGACTAATAATACTGCTGATTCTTCAAAAAGTCTAGCTACCATAGTGCTTAACCGAACAAGCACTCACCTTGCCGTGCGTCTCGAAAAGGACCTCCAATCGATTGTGAACTGGGGCATGAATTGGCTGGTCAACTTCAACGCTTCAAAGACAAAACTGCTCTCTATTAATCACCACAGAGAGCCTTCCCTTCCCTCCATCAGAATGTCTGACGCTCAACTTCTCGAGAGCAACTCTCTGCGGCTTCTCGGTCTCACGTTGACTGCTGACCTGAGATGGAATAAATACATCGAGTCAATTGCCCGTCCACTGCGAGGAAAGTTGGCTCCCTGAGCCGCTAGGAAGTTTTTCTCCCCTGAGTCGATCCTCCAGATATACAAATCCACAATTCGCCCTTGCATGGAGTATTGCTGCCATATATGGTCTGGCGCCCCTTCTGTTTGCCTCAGGGGTTCTTGATAGGCTCCAGCGGATATGCAATATGGTTGGCCCTGCCCTGGCGTCTCGTCTACAGTCACTTTCTCACAGACGCACCGTCGCCTCCTCTGTCTGTTCTACAAATACTTTCATGGAAATTGCTCCGAGGAGCTGCATTCGCTGGTTCCCAGACTTCATGAGTTCAAGCGCCCTACGAGGTTGGCATCCCGCTCTCACCCCTTCACTGTCGAAACTCCTAAATGTAGCCGTCTCTTCTACTCTAATAGCTTCATGTCTCGCACCTCTCGCCTGTGGAACTCTCTTCCCTTCTCCTGTTTCCTTGTGAGTTATAATCTCCAGCTATTCAAGTGTAATGTCAATCGACATCTCCAGTTGCCCTAATCTATCTACTACCCTCATCCTATCTTCTATCACTCCTATCTGATCTTCCTATTTTCTGTAACCCCCTTGCGTCCTAGTGGCTTCCCGCCTTGCTTGGGGTGAAATGCTTAAAAAAAAAAAAAGTACCATGGAAGTATTTATAGAAAAGACACAGAAAGACAACCTTATGCCGGTATGTCTTTTATCTTTACAAGAGCCAGATTAGACCAAAAACAGAGTATTGTTTCCATATCAAAGCTGGAACTATCCAATTCTCACTTTCCAGCCTTGACAGAGTTCAAAATCATTTACGCATTTTTAAATCTGTAACCTCTTTCTCACACGCGTTACTTTACAAGTCTATCGCCACTCTATCGTTATTCCCATGGCCAAGGTTCGGATGAGTTCTATTCTTTTCTTCCATCAGTTCAGACCTTACAACTATCACACACCATCCCACATTCACGGAGTCGAATAAGCCTAATTTATCCAGTGTTTCAAATACACCCACGTAAGTGCTTCCCTGAACGCTTCAATCTTGTCCACTTCAAGTCAAGGTTTAGTACTAATTTCCCCCGTGGTTCAAATGTAAGAAGAAAGTTTCACTCAAACAGGTCTTTCCCCATAAGTTTCTGCATTGTAAAAAAAATACTCCCGTGTGGGTTCTTCCCTGGACACTTCAATTTTGTACTCATCAAGTCATGGGTTAGTCATCATTTTTCCTCCTTATCCTCGTAATCTTCACTTTATACCACATCTGCCACACCTCATTACAACTTTGAGTATAACGCACTTGAGATAGTGAATGAAAAGCAAAGTATGATAAAAGAAAGAGACATAATGAGAATGGAGAGCAAAGTATGATAAGCAGATTAAGGATAGACAAGAGTGAATGGAGAGCAAAGTCCGACATACTGACGAAGGAGACACAACGGGGAAAGGAGAACAAAGTATGACAACTAGACGAAAGAGACACAAGAGTGAATGGAGAGCAAAGTATGAAAACCTGATGAAGGAGAGACAAGAGTGAATGGAGAGCAAATATGATATCCTGACGAAAGAGACACAACAGGGAATGGAGAGCAAAGTCTGACATCCAGACGAAGGAGACATAATGGGAATGGAGAGCAAAGTATGGCAACCAGACGAAAGAGACACAAAAGTGAATAGGGAGCAAAGTATGACATCCAGACGAATTGAGACTTAACGGGGAATGGAAACGAAACAATGACATCTAAAAATGGGACGCCAGTTCGATTCCTGCTGGAGAGCGCATCTTTTTTTCTATATGATTTCTTGAATATTCAGGTCGATAGACGAAAATAAATCTAGGGTTTAAAATAAACGAAGCGCCTACTCAAATAATAGTTATTCCCCTAGAAACAATGTTGAAAGTGATAAAAATCTGTCACAGTAATACATAAAAATCGATTACTTCTTTAGAAAATGTCTGTGTATGTATTTCCATCATTAAGGTATTCCGTTCACTATATTTAAATG